AATAGAGTCGTTGAGACTAATCTGCCTGAAGTCCCAGAGTTCTTCAATCACCTGTTTCTTTACAGTCTCAAATTTGTCTTCTACAAAGCAATTAACTCTGCAGACAAGGTAGTACGGAATTAATTTAATTAAAATAGCTTGTCAGACAGAATAGTGAAGATGAGCTATATTGCAAGTTAATTATTTTAAAAATACACATACAGCTACAGTGAGCTTAAAAGTAATAACTGAGGGGAAACATCTGCATTTAGTCTAAAAAAATGTAGTGAAGCTTACAGCCATCACTACGTAATTAAAGAAAGATTATTGAAATTATCATGTGTCAAAGCTGTCATCACCCATTTCTCAATCGGTAACAAAAACTAACAACATGTGTTATAGTAGCTCCAGAAATCAGAAAGTCATCATAGCTCTCCCAGTTTAGGGTAGGATCCACGGGGAAAATACTAGTCCTTGTTGTTTCCCTCCTGACTGTGATGCTGACACCTTTGAGGAGTAGCTCACTGACATTCAGAGATCTGCAGCTGCTCCTGAAACATCTCAGATGAGTTGAAAGGCTTGGAAATTAAACTTGAAGCTAAAAGTTGACTGACTGAAACCAACCAGTTTGCTGAGTCTCCCGTGCAAGTGGATCACTTCTTTCTTAAGGATTTCCTAGAAGTCATTTCTTCTTAATGCATTACTTTGAAAGCAGACACTACTTCATAGAAATAGAAGTTCATAAATAATCAGACTATATTAGAATAAGCTAAGTTACATTTTCAGATAAAAGATTTTTGGCACAAGGCCTGCTGCATATATACATACTCTAAAGTCTTCACATTTGTTTTCAACTGCAAGGTCAGAAGTATTTCACAATTATATGACCAGAAATTAAATACAAGTGTTGAATAAATGGCATCTTAACAGTCAGTGAAAACTGGTAAAAAAGGACATATTATCTTATCAAGAAAAGGATATCACAGTGATCACTGAAAAGCAGGTATGTGCATATGTGCACTGTTAATATTTCACTTCCACTTACCTCATCATCATTCTTTTCAATCAGCATTAAAGCCGAGTGAATAATCATTGAAATATAAACTAACTAATGCTCCTTCTTTTATTTTTCAATGAGAAAGACAGGACTAACAAAGTAATCACACATGATGTCTTAAGTATATATGTATATATGTCTCAAATATAGACTGTGTCTGAAAAAACTCAGCAAATAATTTTGGTGACTATGATCATTAAAAGCACAGAACTAGAACTATCGTAAAAGAGACAAATTAAATAATACCTTTATTTCTGAAGGCCTAGTATACCTCTAAAACTGCTGTCTATTGCTGCAGTTACTAATCTGTGTAGTTAATATATAGTCAATATCTCACAAAAAGTATTATTCTCTACACAGAATTCTTTTCATATTTCCTCTGAGATGCAGTATAGTGTTAGGTTTATTCCAGGTTTCCATCCAGGTTTATTCATTAGAATGTAGAATGCAACTGAAGTGAAAGAAAACTTGTTTAGGCAGGTAAGTTGTTGCAGATTATTATTTTTCAGAATTTCCTCAAGTGAGGGGGATAGGTGTAATAGCAGGAGCCAGGTCTGAAGCTGCGAGCTGATTTATCCAGTTGTCACTGCCACAAACAAGAGGCCACGTATGAGGCCCTGTGATGTGACCTAAAAACAAAGTGCAAACTCTACCACTTTTTAAGTGTTTGCAGCTGTATTTCTTAAAAAAAAAAAAAAAAAAAAAAAAAAAAAAAAAGATTTTTGAAGGGTAAACTTTGACAGTTGACAATGCTCAGATCTACTCAGACCTACTGTGGCAGCACGGTATAGACAAGGCACCAGAGAGGGCTATGGATCTCATGCCAATGGCACCAAAAGCACTCGGCTCAGAGCTCCCTTTGGTAGAACAGCAAATATAAGGAGCAGAGTCATATAACTCTGCTGCCACTGAAATCAAGCTCTGACAAGACTCATTACCTACATGAAAAAGAAGAATGAGGCTGAAATTAAGCCCAAATAYATTTTGACTTTTTTTTTCTTTTTTTTTATATACATTTGATAGCTGGCCTTTTTCTAATAAGACTGTTATTTGCATTATGAAAGCTCYAAAAATTTATTATTTACCCAAACTTTAGGTTTTTTTTAGTCTTTAGAAAGACATACAGTGAGCAATCTATAACTGAAGTGACAATATGACTGCACTTGGAGCATGGCCCATTTTTGTCATTGGCAAACTAAGCCTGATTACTAGCTTGCCTAAATGCAAAGTCAATTATTCTCTCCATGCTGTCAAATGTTTTTCTGACCTAAAGCGGGCAGGAAAAGAGGATGGTCTGCCTAACTGCAGTTCCAGCTGGTACTATTGAGGGAAAACAACCACATCATTTGGAATTACTTACTTAGCTTTACAATCTACTTTATCCTGCTCATAAATTTGGTGATTAATAAGAGTAGTAGTATACCAGAAAGTATGTCGTGCAGAATAACTAAGCTCGGAGGCCCAAGGCAATGCGAGATCAGCTGGCCCACATGTCACATCCTGGACAATTGTCTCTTAATTATTGTCTCAGGGTGCATTCATTTTGCAACCAGGCTGCTCCATTAGTTGCTACAGAAAGATACTAAGATGGCTATTTTTAAAAAGGCCAACTAGAAGAATTCGGCTATGCCTAACACTCACGTGGCTGAAGGGAAGCAGGACTGTTTGCATGTATGTTTGTGTGGGCAGAAGCATCCATGCAACTCATTGAGGAGACCCATGTCTAACAGCAGCTGGTCCAACAGCATCACCCCAGGTTTGCATCCAGCTTACACAGCCCGTGTGGCTATAAGGGGTGAGGCAGATCAGAGGTGAGACCCTCTCTCCCACCCCACAGGAGAATACCACGGTGAATATCCAAGTGAGACATGGTGCCAGAAGATGGGAAGAAGGAAGTGCTGACTCATTCCCCATCATAGACACGGAGGAACAACAGGGCCACAAGTGGCACCAGGCATCCTGCACGGTCCCAGCTGCAGGAGAAGGAAACACTTCTCAGCTCTGCTAGAGATGTTTCCCTTTGACTTGCCAGCCCATTACACACTTCTTTCCGTACCGGCCCATGTCCCATGGCACGGAGGCCAATGGGCCCCTCCTTGGGCTGCCAATCCCAGCGGCTCCAGCTGAGGAAGCTTTTCCCACGGCCCGAGCACGGCTGCACACAGATGTCCCTGCTCCTGCTTCAGGCAGATGGTGCCCACGTTGCACACGTGGTGTGGGGCCACGCCAGCACGGCCACACAGCATCCGGCACAACCGGCGTCCCACAGCTCCTGCAGACCTTGCACTCTTCTAAAGAAACCCCACCAACCACAGATGAAGCATCTGCAGTGCAGTCTGCCTTGCACACTTAGTATCATGTAAATATGATGTAAATTTTYACCCATTGAAAGCCTTTACCTATGTTATTTTATGATTATAAGAACCCATAGTGATTTGAACATTTTAAATCTGCCACTTTGTTTTTCTTCAAAAAAGAAGTATGCAATAAAAATAATCATTTACATTTTTGTTTAAACTGTATTATTAAACATTATTATTAATCTTAAATCAAAACATAGCTCTTTAGATAAAACTCAGACTTCATCAAAACTGTGCTGTTGAAGGATTAAATATTCAGCATATTCAAGCTTATAAATGCCTTCTATTTATTTTTTTTTAAGTTTACAATGATTAATTAGCATTTTTAATGAAAAGGGACATAATTAGACTATGTTGAAAAATATGTGTCTTGCTACTGTCTTAAATTTGTAAAAAAAGTATATTATAAAACCTTCACTTACATTTTATTGCTTTTAGTTAACATTTGTTTTCAGTTTTTATTACATGTGAAGATTTTATGATGAGTGTAAAAGGTTAATAGATCTTAGCAAGTCACATGGTTCTTTGGGGCTTAAAAAGACGAAGCAAAGCCAAGTGAGGAATTATGTGTATTCTTCATTTAAGCCAGTCGAGTGGGAAGGAAGCCTCTTAGGAATAATTGCCCAGTATTTTGCAGTGTATTCATAGTGTTCTTAGGAGGGTTTGGTGATTAAATAAATAATCTAAAGGAAAGAGCGTGAGCATACTTTAGTTTGGATTGCTATTTCCATCTCCGAGCCAGCAGAACACTCCACCACGTTTCAGGACCAGATAATACACCTTGCCTTTCACAAGGTGTCACACTCAGTACTCCAGAAGTTCCTGAATGCATCTTCTCATCTTACGGTTAGAAATGCAAGTCATGTGGAAGGCAGCGATTCACCAGCTGAGCTGAGCTCCATTTACCACTCGTGGTCTACAGAAGGTTACTGGTGGTTTGCAGACAGCTGGCTCCTTCTCAGTGCTCCAAGATTTCAGCTGTTTCTACAGATATCTTGGCTCTGCTGCCTAAAGCAAAGCCTAGTGGCCTGAAAGAACAGCTGGAAATGAGGACACAGCCTAGCTACTACACACAAAGAAGACGTTAAAGGAGCTGCCCTGTAGAGCTATCTGAGCACATAATGCCTTGGGAAACAAGCAAAACAAAAAGGCCAGCAGCATTTTCACCTGKTGAAACCAAAGACCAAGACACCATGAAGAGTGTGAGAAGATGCAAGGAAGCAAATGACCAAAGAACCTGGGSAAAAGGGAAAAGGGGATGGTATTCTGTGAAGAAAACAACCCTTAGCAAGGGAGTAAAAGGATATATCCCATATTGCAGAAAGGAGAATTAAGAATACCCATAAGAAGGCAACAGCAGGATAATTTTATACTATATATGAAAAGTGGTGTGTAACAGGAATATATTTGCAAATCGTATCTTAAAAGGCACCCTTCGACTTCAAACACTTGTTGCATTCCTTTACTAAATGAAAATTTGAAGATGAATAAYGGGAAATAAAAGCACAGCAACCAATTCAAAATCAGAACGGGTGAAATATGAATGCAGCATCCATTAACAACAAAAYACTATGTAAGGATATGTCAGCAATTTAATCACTTACAGGTTCTCCTCGATGTCCTTCTAGGCCTGGAGACCCAGGCTGTCCAACTTCTCCCTTCAAAATGAAAAATACTGTTAATATGTTATTTAAAAAAAAAAAGCTTTCCATGAAAAAAATAGAATTCAAGTAGTAAATTTTTATTTTAAAATAATAATCTAGTAAAATGTAGAACAAATGTAGAACAAATACACAGGCTAATGGCTTCTTCAAAAATCTCTTGAAAATATCTTGGAATACAGTTTTGTCAAATGAAAATTCTCTCATAAAGTGTCCAACCAAAGCTGTTAAACCATTTGCAGAAAGAGATCAAAGATCATTTTCTTTTGAAATCTGAGAAGAGCTGAAAGGCAATAATTGGTTGAATGGCAAATGACAATAATAAAATGACAATATTAAAAAAGTGTGGCAAGTGTGCATGGAAAATAATAGATTTTAATTCTGCTGGGAAATGAATCAAACTTTACTCTTTGAWGTAACAAAAAATGGGAACAAAATGATTATAAAAGGACTAAGAATACTTTGGCCACTGAAAATATTGGCATTTTGTTCAATCAAGAGAGGAAAAAAATCTGCGTAATTCTTAAAATCAAGCCCAGAGATTTGGTTTTCAGACATAAAGATTACTGCTCGAAGTCTTTATGCTTTAAATAAGGTTTAGCCAAAGTTTTGACAAATCTGTTCATAACATAGATTATTCCCAACTATCTAGGTAGTCCAAACTCTTAAACTAGTTTAAAATCATCATTACCAGAAAAATACCAGAAATTCGTGGTTAAATAGCAAACTAATCAGAGAGCGCTTTGGTACTGGTCTATGATCATCCACTTCTGCTTAATGCTGAGTGTTTTATATACATGGTTTTCCTCATGCCAGCTTGCCCCTTCCAAGAAATGTCCAGGCATAGGACACTTGATGGACAGCCTAAGTAAGTCGGGCATTGGGCTCTAAAGTACATGTGAATGASGCCACCTTATTTTAGAAACAGAAGCCATGCTGTACTACCATTCTTCAGGGGCAGTTCGTAGTGTTTTTCTGTTTGTTTGCTTATTTTTTTAATAAAAAATAGATGTGACCAATGACATCATGTAGTCTATTGTTCTAAGAGATAGTACAACTAATAGTTTGAAAACTGCTTCAAAACACTTCAACACCAGACATGAACAAATCATTATGTCCTTATTCAAAATATACAGGCTGACAAAAAAAAAAAAAAAAWWAWKGRAAAWWAWTYC